CACTTAAGGGTTTATGAGGAAAGCCTGATAATATTTAACTGAAACAATAACGGGCACCACTATGATTAAATAGCATTTAGACAAGGCAAACCAATAGAAATGCACAGACTCAGCATTAGGCACTATGTTAAACTGGCATCTGTACAGACTGTGTCCAAATCAAGGGGTGGCCTTTCAAGGCAAATTATGTGGCTCATTGCTGGGGCAAGCCAGGGTTGGAATAGCCAAATTAAAGTTCAGCTCCTCAGTAAAATTGAATTTGACACCTCTTTCCTCAGGAGATTGGGAATTATCTTCCCAACATGTACTTTAGAACATCAGTGTCAGCCCATCTGCTATCTAAATTTAGATCTCAATACAGTATGTAAAGCATCTTTCTGCTGTGGTCATTAGCAGAGAAAAAACCTCCAAAGGTCCCATCATTAAATGAAGACCCACGGCATCTATTCCATCCTCTAAGGAACCTATCATTTCTTCTGCTGCTTTTAGTGAAGGACTGAGGGGAGGGGGCTGGGAAGCAAACTGAGAAGCAGCGTGACAGAGGGTCAGGAGACCCAGATGCCAGCCCCACTCTGCCGTACACTAGCTCTGTGACCTTAGTCAAATAGAAAAATCTCAGGGTCACAGAAAATCTTTAAGGTCCATTAGTTAAGACACGTTACTGATGTTTGAATCCCTCTAATAATATCACTGCTAAGTGTTGATTCGGTTTACGCTTTACACTCAAGTGATAGAGAAATCATTACTTCCCTTCCCTCTCCAGTGCTCTATAACGTCTGAGACCCTGGAGAAGGCATCGTAACACAAGTCTTGAAGGTTGGAGAGAACCTGAGGTCTGAAGGACAACTAGCTCTTAACAATACTGGAGAGCAGGAAGAGATCACAAGCCCATCTCTACAGAAAGTTATTAATTATTAATGAAGGTTAAGTGATCATGTAACAATTCCAAAAAATCAAAATCAAAAGAGGAGTCCTTGACATAAGTGGCTTGTCTGTAGAATAAAAAGAAAACTCTTAAAACGCTGAAACCATGTTTTCCACATTAAAGGTTTGACCGTAGAGAGAAAAAGATATTTAAAGTATAACACCTACATATAATAAATTGATCATACAGCAAGCTCGTCTAATTGTGGTTGTGGACTGGTGAAGGTCTACAAATTGTTATCAGGCTACAAGGAGACAGGAGTTTGCTCTAGAATGTAAAACAACTTTTTTATGGTGAGGAGTTTTTGGTGTTTTTTTCGGTTATTGGGTGTGGGGGGGGCGGGGGGGGGTGGTGCATGCCACGACTTTCTCAATGAAGGAAGCAGTGCATTGATTTACATTCTGGTGCAAGTCCCTTATCTCGGTTCAAACAGTGACAAACAGTTCCCAGACTGGCTACTTCATGGAGTACTGTCGGAGACTAATAAGGTAGCATTTCCCAGTGGGACTCTGATGAACCTGTAGCATCTCTTCCTTCACTCTGTGAAGTACAACTTCCCCAAACCACCAAAAGCAGAAACGTCTGTTGTCTTATTCAGAAGCTGATGCACTGTCTTATCTAGACTATGGTAGAGGCTTCCAGCAGGTCCCCCTACCTTCAAACTATTCTGACACACGTTCAAGCCAGCCTCCACGCTGCTACCACAGGAAGTGTTTTGAAACATATCTAGACAATTACTCCCCTGCTTAAATTCTTTTGAGAGCTCCCCAACGCCTACTGCATTAGCTTTAACCTTTTGAGTTTAATCACCAGCCATTCCCGTCTACCCCTTGACCTCTGCAATTATGAGTCATTTTCTGAACACATTACATACTTTCATCCACCTGTGCTTTAACTCATATTGTCTCCTCTACGTGAAATACTCTTTCCCTTCTAATCCACCTATAAACTCCTACTCATCCTTTAATAGCCAGTTCAAATAATGCCTCCTCTGAAAGTCTCAACAACCACCCCAGAAAGAACTATGTATTCAGACCCTCTGTGGGTGTGAGGGGGGGAGGGTAGTTCAATGCCATAAATAACAGGGCAGGCTCTGGAAGCTGACTCCACAACACCTATCTGCATAACTTTCGGCAAGTTACTTAACATCTCCTGCTTCAGTTTCCCCATCCGTAAAACAGGAACAATGATATAGTACTTCCTTCACAGGGTGGATGTGAAGATTAAGTTAACTAACTCATGTAAAGCATTTAGCACAGTGCCTCACATATAGTAAGTATTCCTATAAATTATTGAGTCAGGCCAGTTAACTTCTCTAGCCTAGGAATTTGAAACCCAGTGACAGGGGCTCTTGGTGTTGGGGCACCTTTATGCACCTTTATATAGTCTGGAGAGCAGGTCCATCAACGTCTGCTGCTGCAGTTTCTGGGGTTGCCCCTGGTCCCTACCCAGCCTGGGCTGGATGCTTAGGGACTGATTCATTCTTTGAGTAACTCCAGTATCTTTTAAAAAATTTATTTTCTTCTTCTTCTTCCCCTTCCCCTCCTCCCCCTGCTCCCCCTCTAATCCTCTCCCCCTCCTTCTTATCCTTCTTTTTTTTATTTTTTAAAACTTAAGCCAGGGGGCTTCCCTGGTGGCACAGTGGTTAAGAATCCGCTTGCCAATGCAGGGGGCACGGGTTCAAGCCCTGGTCCGGGAGGATCCCACATGCCGCGGAGCAACTAAGCCCGTGTGCCACAACTACTGAGCCCGTGTGCCTAGAGCCTGCGAGCCACAACTACTGAACCCACGCGCTGCATCTACTGAAGCCCGCGTGCTCTAGAGCCTGTGCTCGGCAACAAGAGAAGCCCACACACCGCAACGAAGAGTAGCCCCGGCTCGCCGCAACTAGAGAAAGCGCGCGCACAGCAACGAGGACCCAACGCAGCCAAAAATAATAAATAAATTTTAAAAAATTTAGTTTTAAAAAAAAGTACACCACAAGATTTGGATTAAAAATGTATATTAAAAAAAAAAAAAAAAAAAACTTAAGCCAGGAAGAATCAGCCTCTCTCTCGCTTACACGTACCTTAGTTAGTGTAGGGATAACAGTAGCTATCGTATTGCTTATAAGGATTAAAAAAGATAATGTACAAAGCACTTAGAGCAGTGCCTGTCAGTGAGTAAGTACCTGGTAATTAGTAGCTTTCACTATTATCTAATGATAGCTCTTGGTATTTACCTAGTGTTTTATAATATAAACTACACACTCCTGTGTTGCTTGCTTATTCTCCTTAACAAATGGGTAGAAACGGTAGCCACAGTTTATGGATGAGGAAATGGTGATGTTTAGGAGTATGCCCAAGATCATGAAGGTGGCAAGTGGCTGAGCTGGGAACCCTACCAAGGTGTCAACCTAAGTCTCTGAAATTAAAGCAAGAACTCTGAGACTCCCCACTACGCTGCCTGTTTCCCAAGACAATGGGTCCAGGAAATCGCCTCTAAGTATTCTCATTAAGGTGTCAAAAATAAACAAGGATCCCTTCTTTATTACCGTCAGAGGTCACCTGGTGGGTGGATGTGAGCCAGCGACTGCAGCCACACTGCCGAGGCTTGGGTCCTGCCTCCCCCACTTATTTGCTATGTGACTTTGAACAGGCCACTTAACTTCTTTGGGCCTCTTAGTGGGTTACTGTGAGGACTAAGTGAGTTAATATATGTAAAGGACTTAAAACCATGCCTGGACCGAAAGACCTAGAACAGCAAACACAGTACTGAAGAACAAAAAAATTAGAGGAATCACACCAAATGATTTCAAAACTTACAGTAAAGCTACAGTAATCCAAACAGCACAGTATTGGTGAAAGAACAGACACATACATCAATGGAACAGAATAGAGAGCCCAGAAGCAGATCCACACAAATAGTCCAGTGACCTTTGACAAAGGAGCAAAAATATTTCAATGGAGAAAGGATAGTCTTTTTAAGTAACGGTGCTGGAACAACTGAATATCCACATGCAAAAAAAAAAAAAAACTAACTAAACACAGGACTTACATCTCTCATAAAAATTAACTCAAACTGGATCACAGACCTAAATGTAAATGCAAAACTATAAAATTTTTAGAAGAGAACAAAGGAAAAAATCCAGGCTACCTTGAGTTTGGAGATGAGTTTTTAGAAGCATCACCAAAAGCATGATCTAAATTGGACATTATTAACATTAAAAACTTCTGCTCTGCAAAAGACCGTTAAAAGAATGAAAAGAGAAGCCACAGAAATTTGCAGATATTTGCAAACACATATCTGACAAAGGACTTGTATCCAAAGAACTCGTGAAACTCAACAGGAAGAAAGCCCAGTAAAAATGGACAAAAGATCTGAGCAGAGATTTCACCAAAGAAGGTATATAGATGACAAATAAGCATATGAAAAAAATGTTTTACATCATTATTAGGGAATTACAAAATAAAGCAACGAGATACCACAGCATACCTTATAGCCATACCTATTAGAATGGCTAAAATACAAAAAAGAAAATTAACAATGCCAATTGCTGGCAAGGAAAAAGAGCAACAGGAACACTCATCCTTCACTGGCACGAATACAAAATGGCACAACCAATTTGGAAGACAGTTTGACGATTTCTTACAAAGCTAAATATAGTCTTAGCATATAATCCGGCAATCACACTCCTTGGTACTTAACCAACTGACTTCAGAACTATGTCCACACAAAACCCTGCAAGCAAATGTTATAGCAGCTTTATTCATAGCCACCAAAACTTGGAAGCAACCAAGATGTCCTTAAATAGGTGACTGGATAAACAAATTGGAGTATATCCACACAATGAAATATTACAAAAAGAAATGAGCTACCAAGCCATGAAAAGACATGAATAAATCTTAAATACATTTTGCTAAGTGAAAGAAGCCCATCTGAAAAGGCTATGTTCTGTATTATTACAATTATACGATACGATGTTCTGGAAAAAGCAAAACCACAGAGACAGTTAAAAAAATCAGTGGGGTCAGGGAATCTCGGCGTGGACAGCGCAAGGGAAAAGGTGGAGGCGATTGGTGGTCGGCAGTGCCAGTGGAAGTCGCGTGTCCAGCGGGAGGGACCTGAATTGCATCCCCGAAATGGCTGACACCCTGGGGGCTGTGGCCAAGCAGGGGTTTGATTTCCTCGGCATGCCTGTGTTCCACCCACGTTTCAAGAGGGAGTTCACTCAGGGACCTGCTAAGAATCGGCCAGGCCCTCAGACACGATCAGACCTACTGCTGTCAGGAAGGGACTGGAACACACTAATTGTGGGAAAGCTTTCTCCACGGATTCGTCCAGACTCAAAAGTGGAGAAGATCCGCAGGAACTCCGAGGCAGCTATGTTACAGGAGCTGAATTTTGGGGCATATTTGGGTCTTCCAGCTTTCCTGCTTCCCCTAAATCAGGACGATAACACAAACTTGGCGAGAGTTTTGACCAACCACATCCCACTGGCCACCACTCCTCCATGTTCTGGATGTGGGTGCCACTGGTGGCACCAGAGGACCTGAGAGATGTGCCAACTTCACACACAGAGGAGTACGGTGGAGAGGAGAAGACATGGATGTGGTGGCACAACTTCCGGACCTTGTGTGATTATAGCAAGAGGATTGCGGTGGCTCTCGAAATTGGTGCTGACCTCCCATCTAATCATGTCATTGATCGTTGGCTTGGGGAAGCCCATCAAAGCAACCATTCTCCCCACCAGCATTTTCCTGACCAATAAGAAGGGATTTCCTGTTCTTTCTAAGATGCATCAGAGGCTGATCTTCCAACTCCTCAAGTTGGATGTGCAATTCATCATCACAGGCACCAACCACCACTCAGAGAAAGAGTTCTGCTCCTGCCTCCAGTACTTGGAAAACTGGAGCCAGAATCGACCTCCACCCAGTGCCTATGAACTCTTTGCCAAGGGCTATGAAGACTACCTGCAGTCCCCACTCCAGCCACTGATGGATAATCTGGAATCTCAGACATACGAAGTGTTTGAAAAGGACCCTATCAAATACTCTCGATACCAGCAGGCCATCTATAAATGTCTGTTAGACCGAGTGCCAGAGGAAGGGAAGGACACCAATGTGCAAGTGCCGATGGTGCTGGGAACAGGCCACGGGCCCCTGGTGAACACTTCCCTGCGGGCAGCCAAGCAGGCAGACTGGTGGATAAAGCTGTACGCTGTGGAGAAGAACCCAAATGCTGTGGTGACGCTGGAGAACTGGCAGCTTGAAGAATGGGGAAGCCAGGTGACAGTAGTCTCATCGGACATGCAGGAACGGGTGGCTCCAGAGAAAGCGGATATCATTGTCAGTGAGCTTCTGGGGTCCTAAGCGGATAATGAGCTGTCACCGGATGATGGCGTAAGCATTCCTGGGGAGTATACCTCCTTTCTAGCTCCCATCTTCTCCTCCACGCTGTACAATGAGGTCCGAGCCTGTCGGGAAAAGGACCGCCACCCTGAAGCCCAGTTTGAGATGCTTTATGTGCTGTGGCTGCACAATTTCCACCAGCCGTCTGCACCCCAGCCCTGTTTTACCTTCAGCCATCCCAACAGAGATCCTATGATTGACAACAACCACTACTGCACCTTGGAGTTTCCCGTGGAGGTGAACACAGTGCTGCATGGGTTTGCAGACTACTTTGAGACTGTGCTTCATCAGGACATCACTCTGAGTATATGTCCAGAGACTCACTCTCCTGAGATGTCTTCATGGTTTCCCACCCTCTTCCCCATTAAGCAGCCCATTACCGTGCGTGAAGGCCAGACCACCTGTGTACGTTTCTGGCGATGCAGCAATTCCAAGATGGTGTGGAATGAGTGGGCTGTGACAGCACCAGTCTGTTCTGCTATTCAGAACCTCACAGGCCGCTCTTACACCATCGGCCTCTAGCCCTGCCTGCAAGTGTCTAGAGCCTTGGAAGCAGCTTCAGGTTTTGCCCCTGTAGCACCAAAGGTGCAGTAAGTACACCATGGGTTCTGATTTGCCTTGCCCATCAGAAAGGAGCATTTCAGTCCACTTTCCTGCCTTACGTCAAGATGGGCAAAGGATGAGAATTGCAGGGCTCACGCCACCAATCTGTGAAGACTTCAGGCCAAGGCATGAGGAATTCGTGTTGGATCTGCAGCTACTCCAACAGGCACTCAGCCTCAAGTGCTCTCTGGGATAGCCCTGAGAACATGTGGATTGAACAAATTTTCAGCCCTTTTCCCTGCCCATCTCTGTTCCTATTTTGATGATTTTGGGTAAGGAGGAAATACAAATAAAGTGAGGTTATGGCCTTTCCTGCTCCAAAAAAAACGAGATCAGTGGATTGGGGAAGGGTTAAATAGGTGAATTGGTGAAGCACAGAGAATTCATAGGGTGATGAAGCTATTCTCTATGACACCGTAATGGCGATACCTGCATTTCTCAAAACCCACAAAAAGTGAACTTTAATATATGTAATTTTTTTTAAATCATGTAAAAGGTTAGGGGAATCCCAAGATGAAATGCAGAATGTGACCAAACAATCTAACTGTATTACAAATGTATGAAACAACCTCACTGAAAGGAGTGGAGAAAAAAAAAAAAAAAGGTGCTCCCTAAGCAACTTTGGAAATAAGAAGTCTGTAAAACTATGGCAAAGGAAACTGTACGTAAGCAGCACTGTACTCTAGTGGACAAGACCATGGGGGTCTTGTCAACAATTCTGACACTGCTATACATGCATACTGGAACTGAACAATTAAGTAAATACATGGCGGATGGTGGGAGCCAAGTTTACCATACTGTTGGAGTAGGAGATCACAGATCCCCAAGGGGAGGAGGCCAGAATGGTCCACGTGGTAATGGATTAGAATTGGAGACATCAGTATGCTCATGTTTAACTTAATACAGATACAGACGGTTACATACAGATCAATTTATAAATTAGTACATACACATTCATTTCCCTGCTCTGTCCACTGAGAGGGCCTCTAAGCAACAGCAACCCTGTAGCAACAAGAACACTTAGTGCCCAGATCTTGGTTTTAATACCACCCTCGGAGAAACGACTGATTCTAGACCTAGGGCAGGAGATGTTAAGATGAGCCTGGAGTATCTTGTGTCAGAAAATAAGAAAGTACTCAAAAGAACAACAACCATCTCACAATGATAGAAGTAGGTCAGAGGACACAGAGCAATGGAAAGAGCTCCCAGTGGCCAAAGCTGGAACAATCTGAGCAACAAAGTAAAGTAATATTTTATGATAACCCGAAGTATAAAATAAATCTCCATGAATATCCATACTGATGCAAATAAACAACTGAATAAATAAATACATGGATGAGAAGAGATAAATTGCCTGGGCAGGAGAACTGCAAAGAATTTGTGTAGCTACTCTGCCCTCAAGAAGGCGAAGCATAACTCCCCACTCCTAAGTGTGGACTCCACACAGTGACTTTTTTCCAAGAACACAGTCTGGATACGGGGGTAGTAACTTTACAGGAAAGACACCTGCTAAACCCTACTGCAGCTAGGTGACAAAGGTCAACATCAACCATGACAAGTCATGTGGACAGTATGTACCCTTGATAGGATGTGATGGGAATGGCATTTTATCTGTGAGGTCTTCCCCTCAAAATCTGTAACCCAGGGCTTCCCTGGTGGCGCAGTGGTTGAGAGTCCGCCTGCTGATGCAGGGGACACGGGTTCGTGCCCCGGTCCGGGAAGATCCCACATGCCGCGGAGCGGCTGGGCCCGTGAGCCATGGCCGCTGAGCCTGCGCTTCCGGAGCCTGTGCTCCGCAATGGGAGAGGCCACGACAGTGAGAGGCCCGCGTACCGCAAAAAAAAAATCTGTAACCCCACTCTAACCATGAGAAGACCTCAGACAAATTCCAACAGAGGGACATTCTACAAAATACCTGACCAGCGCTCTTCAAAACTGTCAAGGTGATCAAAAGCAAGGAAAGTCTTAGAAGCTGCCATAGCCAAGAGGCTCTTAAGGAGACATGGCGATTAATATGATGTGGTATCCTAAATGGAACCCTGGAACAGAAAAAGACAGTGGGTCAAAACTAAAGAAACCCGAATAAAGTCTGGGCTTTAGTTAATAATAATGTACCACCAACATCGGTCTACTAATTGTGACAAATGTGCCATACTAATTTGTTAATAATAAGGGAAGCTGGGTATAGGGCATATGAGAACTCTCTGTACTGTCTTCACAGTTTTTCTGTAAATCTAAGCCTGTTCTAAAACATAAAGCTTATTAAAATAAACAAAAATAAACCATGTCTGGAGTATAGTAATGCTATATAATTATTAGCTAGTAATGATGCTGGTAGTAGTAGTAATGGATCGGGGGTGGGAGGGGGGAATATTTGCTATGTGAGTCCTTTATGCTCTTCCTGTGGAAATTTAGTTTCAAGGAGCCAGAAAGCAAGCTGTCACTGTGCTGGTCGCCAAGCAACGACCACTCCCAAAACCTATACCCCCAACAGGAATAGCACTGCCAGCAGCTCTACTGATTAACACTGGTGACTTTCTAGGGGGGAGTCACTCCTCATTCTTACAAGGAAAGGGCAAGTCATCTCGCACATCCTCCAAGGCTGACAAATTTTTTAAGAAAAGACTGGTGTAAATGCAAAGATGTCCATAAAGAGATGCCTTGTAATCTGGAGGAACTTCTGACCAAGGGTCAAGGAACTGATCCCATACAGCAGCTGCCAGATGACCTGGAAACCCCAGAAGTCAGAATGGTGGCTTTTTTAAATGGTAGCACTCCCTGATGTATTGAGTGAGTAAAATATGGCTTGCATTTCCCTTGCTTGAAATTTTAAATCCTCTCTAAATGGAAAATCTCCTGTCAGGCTGACCCACACCAACCATGGGTACTCTGCAGCTCTCCCAAAATAAACAGGATCAACACAGAGGATCAAGTCCTCATCTTCCACCGACCTTCATATAAACCTGCTGCAGCCACATTTACACCAAGTATGTGGGCAAAGGAGAAGAGCAGACTGGATGTACAGCACTTCAAAAGTAGACATTGCTTCTGCAAGTGTAAAAAAGCCCCAGGGCTACAATCACATCTCATTAATGAAACACAAATAAGCAGGGACTGACTATGCTTAACTTACAACAGAAGTTTCCAGACACTAATCTTCCCATTCCTGTCTGGGCTGGAGAGTGTTATGTTCATAACACACCTTGAGAATGGAAGCTGAGACACAAAGTAGCATCTTAAATGCTGTGTGCTTCTGGGGACTTCAACTGAGACGCAACCAGTTTTTCCCAGGTACTATCGCTTTAAGAGTGACAAGAGTGCCCTCTAGTGGGAAAGAAAGGGTCCTGCATGCAGGGTATAAACCTTGTGCCCGACACCTCGCTAACCTGACCGTTGCAGGTTGCGTTCATGCTGTTGGTTCCTGCTCTCTGTTTTCTTCTTTTCATTATCTTGATGGTGTTCCAAGAGAATAGGCCACATCCCATATACAAGAAAATTCGTGGGGGAAATAAATATACTCAATTTCAGGTGGACTGGGCCAGGTTCAGCTTTACTTCTCTCCTGGTTAACATCTACCTGGCCTATAGCTCATCTTCGACACTGAAAAGTCCACTCCAACCACAGACAGCTGATATCTCCTCACCACTAATACAGACCGATGAGATATCTCACACCAGTGAATGGCCATCATCAAAAAATCTAGAAGAAATAAATGCTGGAGAGGGTGTGGAGAAAAGGGAACCCTCTTGCACTACTGGTAGGAATATGAATTGGAACAGCCACTATGGAGAACAGTATGGAGGTTCCTTAAAAAGCTACAAATAGACCTACCATATGACCCAGCAATCCCACTACTGGGCATATACCCTGAGAAAACCATAATTCAAAGAGTCATGTACCAAAATGTTCATTGCAGCTCTATTTACAATAGCCAGGAGATGGAAACAACCTAAGTGTCCATCAACAGATGAATGGATAAAGAAGATGTGGCACATATATACAGTGGAATATTACTCAGCCATAAAAAGAAACGAAATTGAGCTATTTGTAATGAGGTGGATGGACCTAGAGTCTGTCATACAGAGTGAAGTAAGTCAGAAAGAGAAAGACAAATACCGTATGCTAACACATATATATGGAATCTAAGAAAAAAAAATGTCATGAAGAACCTAGGGGTAAGACAGGAATAAAGACACAGACCTACTAGAGAATGGACTTGAGGATATGGGGAGGGGGAAGGGTAAGCTGTGACAAAGCGAGAGAGTGGCATGGACATATGTACACTACCAAACGTAAAATAGATAGCTAGTGGGAAGCAGCCACATGGCACAGGGAGATCAGCTCGGTGCTTTGTGACCACCTAGAGGGG